CCCGAGGCGTGTTTCCTGGGGAGAGAGCCCCGTGGAGTTCAGAGGGGCTGGGCTGCAGCCCTCGTTCCTGGAAAAGCTGGTTTAGGGTCTGAAGGATGCACGTGTTTGAAAAAAACGGCAAGGCTGTTCTGGGGCAGTGAATCGAATTGTGAATATTTCCGGCGAATAGGCAGAAAGATTTTAAGCAAGATTTAGGGATACGGGAATACCCCATAATACATGCCTATTTCTCGTTGAAATACTCCCGCTTTTCGAATGAACGGCGTTCGGGCTGCAGAAAGCAGAGAGACAATCTGACCAAATCAGCCAATGGTTTAATATTATTAACGATATATCGGGCATTTCTGATCCAAGTCACACTTAATCGGAAAGTAAGTTTTATTGATTGCACTTGCGCTTAGTGTGTAGGCTCAGTTACACCAGTCCACCTTAAAAGAAACGGGCTCCATTCGCACCAGCTGTACACCTGTGTTTCCAAAACTGGCCCGAACGCCCCAAAACAGATGCAATTTCCTATTGACTACTCACTGAAGAAAGGGGTTGTGCGAAGGAATAAAGATGGAGGGGAGGGGAAGTTCAGTTCTGTCTCAAACAGCTCGCTGGCTTTTAAACAGTTAATGGGGGTAGGGAGGGGTTGGAGGAAGGGAGGGTGTGTGTGTTAATCGGCCATTATACCAAATTTATCCAATTAGAAAAGGAAAATCTTGGCAAAATGTCACACTCGTTTATTCTGGGTCAATGCGATGGAATTTCTCTGGGCTTGGAGAATTCCCCCCTCGACACTTTTTTTTTTTTTTTTTGGGAGGGGGGAGGCTGATTTATGTAAAGTGGTGTGAAAGGTGGACTTGGGGCAGCTTTGGAGTGAGAAGATCCCTCCAAACCCAGAACTGCCAGACAAACAGCTCGTCACCTTCTAATCTTCTTTCCCCTTTTCGCAGAGCCTGGACGGCAAAGTTCCCTCTGCCTCCCCAATCCACATTTGATTTCTCACCCCAGCCTCCAGGTTATAACAGTTCAGACACTGCAAGCTTTCCTTCTTCTATTTTGCAACTAGGTCTTTTTGTTTGTTTGTTTTTCCACAACTTGGGGATGTTTGTTTTTCGGTAACCCCCCGCTGAGAAAAGAGGGAAATTAAAAATAAACTTAACAACAACAACGTAATCTTTAATTTTTGATCGAAAAGCAGTAAACTTCCATTCACCCCCTCTGCATCCCTTGGTTCGGGATCATGTAAAAAATATGTTTCTCTTTTGCTGAGAAGTAAAATTTCCAAAGAACAGAGCGCTTGACAATCGGCTTCCCCAATAACTTCCAGAGCCTCGCTCGCCAGAAGCCAGGGCGCCAGGGGACCCCCGGAATTTCTGTCCACATGATTGGCGGACAGCGGCTTGGGGATCGCCGGGGTACCACAGGGCAATCCAAGGCGCAAAACTCCTGAAAGGAAGCAAGGCGAAAGGAGGGCAAACGCTCTGGCGATAATGCCCCCCCCCCCACGCTTCACCTTGCGCAATGCCGGGCATGTCTCTTCTGGGGAAAATCCTAGCAGGGCAGGATTAGGGTCAGGGCATTTTCCCCGTTCAGGGGTGCGGCTTCAATGAACCGATGCATGCGGGGGGCAGAAGCGGCGAGGTCCGAAGCAACCGCAGCCCTCCTGACCAGTGGCCGTGCGGGAAGGCAACAAAGTGACAGGAGTCAGCTCTTGCTCGGCACAAGGTGCGATCCTAAGAGTGGATGCGCATCGCCTTCCTGTCCTTCCTGCGTGCTTTTCTGCCGGGATCGCGCTTCCACTTCATTGCAAAAGAAATCCCTCCGCACTGGCAGGGGCCGCCCTGACAGGCCGGGGGCGCTCCTCCCCCGCCGCAGTCTGTGGCCCTTAAAATATTTGCTAGTTTTCACCCCGGGCTTCTGCCAGAACAGGGTCAGAAGGCCGCTGCCTTGGACTGAGCCGCCCCGATGGTCCATTGGCCACGGGGCTGCCGACCCTGAGGGTTTCCCAGAGTCTTTTCCCGGCCCTGAAGAGGCGGGAATGGAACCCGGGACCTTCTGCAGGAGAAGCATTTCCCTCTGCAGGAGAAGCTCCGCGCCGGTGCAAGAAATCTGACGGGCCGGATCTTCTATGCAGCTGCACCTCCAGCTTTAGGGCTGAGACCTAACCTTCCTCCCCACACACTGCTCCGGTCGGTGAAAAACTACCTGCTAGGCCTGACCCCACTTGCCAAATACATACAAAGAGCACTCCATCGCCTTTATGCCGTCTCCTAAATACAGACAGCCCTTCTCCCCACTTTACGCGGATCAACGGATGCTGGACAGCATGGCGGGGTGGGGGTGATGGCGGTGCAGACGGCTTCGGTTAATTTTCATGGGTCGAGGGCCCCATTTTATGCAAGCCCACCTCCTCTTCCTTGGCAGACAGCCGGATGTGAAAGGGCTTCCTGCCGAGCAGACACGCGGAGGATCGCGCGGGCTCGACACTGTCCCGTTCACTGACTGTCAGCCGAGGCAGCCTCCCCAACTTAGCCCCCCTCCCCCTGACTACAACTCCCAGCATTCCGCGCGATGGCAGTGCAGGCGCGGCGTTGGGAGCTGAAGTCCCGAACATCTGGAGAGGGCCCGAGGGCGCAGAGGAGGCAGAGCCAGAGGATACCGTGCGGGGAATGGCGCACAGCCGTCCCGCTCGCTCCCACCCGCGGCCCCTTCTTCCAACAAAGCCCTTCCGACGGCGCTGCGCGGCAATGGACGCGGCGAGAGAAGGAGGGGCCCCGCGCTGGAGTCGCCTCCGCGAAAGCCTTGTTCGCTGCTTTCCGAAGCAAATTGGAGGTCAAAGTTGACGCGGGCGGAGGCGAGCGGGGGGCCGGAGAAGCGGCCCAGGCTCGCCGCGCAGGCAGCTCCCCCTGCCCGGGTCAGGGCGGCCCGGCTTCCCCCGGGCCCTCCGGCTCCCGGGACGCCAGCGCGCTCGCCAGCCCTGCGCGGCGTGGCCCCGCGGGTCGCGGCGGGTCGGGTCGGGTCGCGGCGGCAGGTGCGCGCCTCTGCAGGGGCTCCCGAGCCGAGGGGGCCCTCCGTGCCGGGCCGGCCCCCAAAGGCCGGGCTGGCGAGGGGCTTGGCGTGCGGTGGGGGCTGCAGCGCCCCTTCGAGCCGCGGATTCCGTCCCAGGGATGGAGAGGCCGGGCTGCGACGCGAGGCCAGCCTGGCCAAGCCCGACGGCCCCGATTTGCCCGGCCTCGTTCGTGGGGAATGTGGCGCTGAGATGCTGTTGGGCGGCCTTCTCATCACCCTTTTTTGGCTACGCCGGGGGGGGGGGGGTGCTGGTGGGAGAGGAGGCTGCAGAACAACTGAGGTGTGATGGCTCTCCTGCCTCGCCACTTGAAGAACTGAGTCAGCGCAAAGAAAGCAAACCTGTCCGTGGCTGGGCAGCTCCACCTCTTTCCCAGAGAACATGGGGGCAACGTAGTAGAAAGATGACCTTTCCTCGAAAGGTACTCCCGACTCGTGTGCTTTTTCCCACCAAGTGCCATTATTCCTGTGGTGAAAAAATAAAACACTTTGCTTTGGAATGCCATTGCCCAAATCTATTCTCTTTCCCAGCTCTGGCCCAAGATGGTTTGTTGCTTAAGCCAACGGACAAAATGGCACCTCTCCCTTTTGCGCATGCAGAAACTTACCATGTTGGCGAGTGAATCTCCGCTGCACTGGCAAAGGGGCAGTGGCTTCCCTCACACCCGAGGCAATTAGGCTAGCCCAGGGGACTCCGGGCCGTCCGCACCGCACACCCAGCTCTGCCCTCTGCCCCTTGCGGCTGCTCCCTGCCCCTTCGTGTCTGCCACCCGGGGCACGTGCCTCTCTGTCTAAGGGTAGGGCCAGCCCTGTTCCTTCTCATTGGGAAGCACAGGCCTTTCCGGGAATGACCTTGCCCCCCACCCCCATATATCAGCATTAATGTGATTTATTTCAAGCCTACATGAGGATGGGAATGTGATGGCCCTGTCCTCCGGCCCTCGATCTGGCATTCAAATCCACCCTGCTTGTGAGGCCGGGGCCTAAGCCACAAGCCGTGCTCCTTGGCTGCTCATCGCCAGTGGTTAACATCTGCTCCCTTTTCCTCTTAGTTTCTACTCGGAGGCCTTCCCAGATGCAATGCCTTGCATGCGCTTCAGACTGCAACTCACCTAGCCCTGCTCAGCATGGTCAGAAGTGCTGGGAGTTGGTAGCCCGGACCCGCTGGGGGACACCACACGGGGGGGCAGCTGCCTTGCAGTGAACAAGAGGTGTGCACAACACCCATTCCTTGTTTTGTGCAGCACCTCACAGGCTACTTGGGATTCCCTGAAATAATAAATAATAGCAAAGTTGTGAATACTAATATATGTTTGTACTGTGTTTTCAGGATCTGAAGTACTTCTCATTCATCTCCTAGCAGGAAGTACTTAAAAACTTTCCCATCAGTTAAGTTAGTGTTAGAGTCCCTCATTTTGCAGATGGGGAATGGGGTTTGGCTACAGGTTAGCAGCTTCAGGACAAAGGCAACATTTGAAGCTGGGATTTCCTGATAACAACCTAACCTCTTTGATTCTCTACGACTACTGAAAAGTAAGTCCCACTGCATTCAGTGATGCTTGCTCCATAAAGTGTGTATAGGATTGCAACCTTGGTCAAGTATCCTCTCAGACACTGCCTTACACTAGTTCTGTTACACCAGTTGTAGTGGCTAAACTCAGGAGTAGGGAAGTTTGGGATAAGCTCCATCAGTAACCATAACTAATCTCTCTCTTTCTCAGCCTAACCTGCCTGTAGGGTTGTTGTGAGTATAAAAGGGGGGAATATAATGTGTGCTGCACTGAGATCCTTGGAAGAAGACAAGATATCAATGTGATAAAAATAAATAGAAAGTAAGCAAGTGTCCATACAGTAAAGGGAACCCATGTTCTCTTGCTTTGAAGTTCATTTACTAAGCTTGGCAGTAACCAGACGTGTGTGTGTGTGTTTCCTTCCCTTTCTCACAGGCCCTTGCCTTCTCTCTCTGCCATCATGGGTAGCAAGACGTTGCCTGCTCCAGTGCCCATCCACCCTTCCCTGCAGCTCACCAACTATTCCTTCCTGCAAGCTTTCAATGGCTTGCCAGCAGTGCCTTCGGACCACCTGCCCAACCTCTACGGCTTCAGTGCCCTCCATGCTGTTCACCTCCACCAATGGACTTTGGGCTACCCAGCCATGCATTTGCCCCGATCGTCTTTCTCCAAAGTGCCAGGTGTGGCCAGCCTGGTAGATGCTCGGTTTCAGCTACCGGCCTTCCCTCTGTTCCCACACGTCATCCATCCCAAGCATGAGGCAGTGAACGTGCCACTCAAAGCCAAGCCCAGGTTTGATTTTGCCAACCTGGCCGTGGCAGCCACCCAAGAGGACCATTCGAAACTGGGACAGATGGAGAGCCAAGGTTCCCCTCCAGGCTTGGGCTCCTTGCTTGAGGTCACCAAACTTTCACCAGAGAAGAAACCCACCCGGGGACGCTTGCCATCCAAAACCAAGAAGGAATTTGTGTGCAAGTTCTGCGGCAGACACTTCACCAAGTCATACAACCTTTTGATTCACGAAAGAACCCACACAGACGAAAGGCCATACACCTGCGACATTTGCCACAAGGCTTTCAGGAGACAAGATCACTTGAGGGATCACAGGTAGGCCTGTGCTTTTCATGGGTTTGTATGATGACGCCTGCAGCCTGGCAATTAAGCTGAGAGAGAAAAAAACCCTTCCATTTGCACCTGTGGATACTGAGGGCTCTGGGGAATACATCCAGGGCCAAGATGCATGGGTGCAAACCTAGCAGTATTCCTGATTATAACTAATTCTAGAGGGCACCCTTCAAGAACTTGGATAAATGTTTGCAGCTGGGTCACTTGTGGCCCTCCAAATGTTTTGGCCTACACCTACGAGCCCTGGCTAGCACAACCGTGGCAAGGAGTAATAGGAATGGAGGGCTACGTTTGCCCACTCTGATCACAGACAGACCCTGTAGTGCTGCTGCAGCAGTTAGAGTTAAATGTGCCCTTGTGAACTGAGAAACATTTGGATGCAGTTCATTTACAGTTTAGTGCTAGAAGATGCAACAATATGAGATACTGAACACAAGTTCTGTAATATGAAGTGGTACAATTAGATCAGTCGTCCCCAAAGAGGTGTCTTTGTATGTTTTGGATCACACCAGGCCAAAACCTTTTCATTTTCCCAAAGTTTTAAGACCTGACTGTTTTAATTGGGTTTTATTATTAGCTAATTTTAGGACACTGTGTTTTAATTTTTTTTCTTACATTTTGTGTTGTTAAACTGTCCCGAGACTTCAGTAATGGGATGGTCTACAAAAGTTATACATAAATAAATCACAACCCCCAGCATTCCTGACCAATGTCCATGCTGGATAAGGTGATGGAAGTCATCATTCAAAGCATCAGGACGGCACCAGGTTGGAGACGGCCGCTAGTTATTTTTAAAATCTAGACTCGCTGGTCTTATGGGACCCCCCACTCTTTAGATGCTGATGTGTGTGGCACATCCCTTATTTCAACATGTGGTAAATGGTCCTCACACTGGGTGGTCTCCCGAATCACGTTGTCATGTGTGGCAACGAAGGTCTGCTCCAAAGTCCGTCCTTGATGACACCACTGGTAACATGATCTATCTCTTCATCTTATATCCTACTGTACTGCACAGCTAGTCAGGATTTATGTAAAAGGCCATGTACATCAGTGGAATACAATCAAAATGAGTTAGGAGGTCAGCTTTCCTAGTGAGCAGCTGCCCAGTCGCTGCAGCCATAATTTCTCACCAAAAAGATCAATTCTGCTCCACACTGGCAAACAAATGTCAATTTCCCCTCAATAGTGCACTCTCTCTACCCTCCCAACCAACCCTCCATGCCCCGAGGCTTCGTTGCGATGGGGGCGGCATAAACGTGTTTTAAATAAATAAAAATAAAATAAATAAAAAAGGATGCATTGCCAAAATCATATCTGACGATTATCTCACTTCTCTAGTGGGAGCAACACCAGTGTGAGCTGCAGTAGGAGGCCTCCTTTGAACTTGCGGAGCTCGTATCCGAGTGCATGGGAGTGCGCTGCTGGGCAGCAGAGGAGGGCTGAAACGGCGGATTTGCATGTGACCGAGTCAACCAGCCAATCTGCCATTTGTCACACTTTGGCCCCCGAGAATGACTGAATGGTGTAGAACAGAGTTCATTGACCTGAGAACATCTGGGTGACCTCCAGATGTTTTGGGCAACAACTTGCAACCTTCCTGACCATTGGCCCTTCTGCCTGGATCCAGTGGGATTGGAAGTCTAAGACAGATGGAGGGCACCAGACGGGGGAAGGCTGACTAGAGCGTCACAAATGTAAAATCCAAGAATAATACACCAAAGCAGCTTGCAGGAGTCAAGGTGGGATGAGCTTCTGTAGAATGGGTCAGGACGCTTCCAAACAGTGAAGTCCTCCTAGTGCCGGCACGGTGCAGCTATGCCATCTTTGCAGAATTTCCACAGTAAGAGAAATGGTACAAGGAGCAGTGGGAAAACACTGAAGGGCTGAGGGGAAGGTAGTGTTGTTTAGACTCTCCAAAAATGCTATGAAGGAGGCTCAGTAAATGCCTTGCCTGGAAGCATCCTTAGTCCTGTCCTGATTCTTGGCCAGCCACTTGAAGACACAGGTAGTTTTTCTAAATGCGAGTGTTTCTGTGAAACTCCCCAAGAGGGAATTTCTCACTGAACAATCATGCTTCCTCAGGGTGATTCCTGCAGGTGCCTATTTAACAAGAGCGATAAGGGATAGAGAAAGGCATCCCATGACGACCCAACGCAACATAGATTTGGCTGCCAGGTTAGGGAAGGGGATAGTCTTTGTTCAGAGACATTTTGAGAAGGTTGGGTTTGTCAGACAGGGCCCTGAAGAGGATAAAGAGCCTGAACAGTCCAAGAGCTTGTGTTTGGTAAAGCTGATGTAAGATACAGACACTGAAAAAGCCGCTTATGGTGGCCAAATGAAAAATGTGGCAAGCAGAGGCAAAGCTGCACAGGAACATAGGAAGCTGACCCATACTGAGTCAGAGCGTCGCTCACTATATCTTACAAGGTCTACTCTGCTTGGGAGAGGCTCTCCGTGGCCTCGGGGCTCTCTCAGCAATGCTATCAAAAACACCTTTTCCTGAAAATTGAATCAGATCCTTCTGTGCGCAAGCAGAGCGCATGCTCTCCAACTGAGCTATGCCCTTCTCGCTCGTGAATATTCTGAGTTACATTAAAGAAAATGAGCATGCATTAACATCTTTCAACCAGCTCATTTGGATCCCAAGATATTCCCCTATACAACCCAGGTAAAACCAATATATTTAAAACCAGGTCGAAGTTCCTTTCAGCCAAGTCAAGCTCAACACTTTTTTTTGGAAGTTCGTCATGTTGACTTGAGTAGGGCTCAGTGGATTACAGCCTTACACTTACTCAGTTGCTTGAGGTTTTTAAAGAAGCTGCAGTAGCTGCTTAAATACAGAGCCATAGCTACAAAGTCTGCCAGCGCTTTTGTTTGCTGAGCTTTGAAACTCTTTGTTTTGTTTAGGGTATTTCTCCACTGCTTGCACAGTACAATCAACCCGAAATAACATATCCCGAGTGCCCAGCCTCTGCATACTACCGTCTGCATGAAACCCACAGAGAGCAAGGACAGTGTTAATAGACTAACAATGGTCTAGTAAAGCTAGGATGGGCAGGGTCAAAGCACCCACACTTTTTGATCAGCAGGAAGGATCACATCACCCGCCGCACCCCCAGCCACTTAGCTGTTCCCTCAACTTTATTGTAATCCTCAAGGTAACTGCAGGGGTGGGACTGATTTTCCCAGAAACACAGAGTGGTGAAGGTGGATCGTTTATTTGCTGCTGGATTTATGGACTATCCTTGGAGATGGTTAATAATGAGTACTTCCTATTCAGAATTAATGACTACCCCACTGGAGCCTAATCGCCAAGCTACATTGCTCCTAGCTTTGGTGTGCCCTTCCCCAGAGTCACTATAAGTGGTGTCCTTTATATAAATAAGCAACATCTTTCCCCACCTGATATTGCCACATTTCTACTTGTACAATAAAAGCATGCATACATGGCAGATTAAACCAGCTTGAATTTGTAGCAGCTGTCCAACAGCAAATTATTAAAACTGTGCATCTAACAGGAAGCTCATGACATCCTAACAAAATTACTGCTCCCACAGGTTTTGAAGATGTTATGGTAGTTAAACTGGGTTCAGACCAGTTTAAATTTTAGTGTAAATGTGTTCCAACATCCCGTATTATGGGAAGCTCTATGCAGGAAAGTTCTCTGTCATCTACAAAGGATGTCGGTCATGCTATTTTCAATGTTTCAGGCCTTTTCTATGAACTCGTTTCCTGTTTCATTGCTGACAATTATTTTGAGCTGGAAAGCATGAGTGAACTTCTAAGAAACATAGCCCCGCCCCCATGATGGGCCTCTAAGGTCCCATATAAACACAGAAGCTTGGTAACAATGCTGAACCATAACTTCACAGCGATTCCCATCTTAAAGATAGGAAGTGAGAGGTGCCTGAACGGTCTCTGCTCTGAGGCTAACAGCAGCTGTGGGAAGGGGTAGTTTTAAATTAGGGGAAGGGATAAAATTGGGAGGGCTCCCTCAGCAGCTGTTTGAAAATGAAAATGAAAATGTTGGGAGAGCCAATCACAGACTTCCTGTGATTCATTTGTTTTGGCCTTTCTAGAGGCTACCCAGAGAATCTATGTATCTGCTGGCACTTTGAACTTAGAGGCTGCAACCAATATACAGATGTGCATTTACCATGGATATGCAGCCCCCATTCAACTCCGTAGGAATCAGCTCAGTTAAACAGGATTTATAACCACTGAAATCAAGGGGACTTACATGTATTTAATAGTGCACTACATTGAAGCCAAACATTCAAATCCAACACTCACCCATATGGTACAGGAACTCCCATGCAGGGGTGTATAAGAATTTCATTTTGGTTCATTAAACATCAGAACTTGCCCCATTTACAAGCCTGAATGTGAATGCAGAACAAACTTGTATACTCCCAAGCTTGCAATTGCATTTGTAAAATGTGTTTGTTAGGAAAAATCATACATTTTAAAGACATGCATTTTTGCCTTAGTGAGGGAAAGTTCGTATTTAGATATTTTTAAAAATGTGCACCCAAAAGCATGCAAGAAAAGAGAAACTTGTACTTGAAAATGGACTCAGCTTCAAGGTGGAGCTCTGATGCTGACCTCAAGACTCACCGATGCTTGGATCCTAACTCCCACCCAATAATGCATGCTGCCAGCCAAGTCCATGGAGAAGATGCTCCTACCCTATCTTCCTTCGTGCATCAGGGAGCACAACGTTACTCCTGACATGAACAGAACAATGTATATGCACTGGAGTGCTTTCCATACTCAGATAGGGATACTGGCATTAATATAGGATTTCCAGGTCCAAATCCACAGTCATTACATTTTTCTTCATTGTGTCAGTGCTACTTATTGAAGAATTTTTAACTGAATCTTCCAGTTCCAGGAAACTGAGATTCAAGTTGTGTTTTGATGTAGAGGTTAAATGCATACTTTAAAAAGCACTCTTTCTGATTTTCTTTTTCAGATATATCCATTCTAAAGAAAAACCCTTTAAGTGTCAAGAATGTGGAAAAGGATTTTGCCAATCCAGGACTCTAGCGGTTCACAAGACACTGCACACACAAGTAAAGGAACTTAAACCTTCCAAAATGAAATGCTAAAGCTTCTAGCCTCTCTTAAACTTCAGCCCTGCTCCCATTCTAAACTTTAGACCAAGTTCTTGACAAAGACAATGGGGAGAACTGAATATGATTAATTTAATTTTGTTTAAGAATAAAAGAAAAATACAAACCTCCTCTGCACGCAAGTCCAACAAGTCTTTCCAAAGTCTGGGTGCTTCTGAGTGTAAATCTTTCATGTCTTTACTAAACTTTACGTCAAAAGGTGGTGCTCAAGTATTGGAGAGGAATCTTCATTGTTAAGACACAACATCAAAAGTAGCTTCCTGAAGTTTTTGCTTTATTAAGTGTATCCTTTTGTTTGTGCTTGTGTGTGACTATTTAAAGGCTTATGATTCATACACTTCAGAAGAGAAAGTCAAGAAGATCATTCAAGTACCAGCATCATGCACCACCAAATGGGAAGAAAGACCACTGATAAACTCTTTGTTGGAAAAGAGGCAAGATTCTGAATGACTCTCATGCCACAGAATGGCTCCCGCTGTCTCTACAGATTTTAACATCTTCAGCCAGTGGGTCTCTTTTCTGCACACTGTGGGGAACACTCTGGCCTTTCTGCTTGTTGGTGGTCTAGTGCCTTGAGAGCTGTTTTGCAATTTCTGGATCTAGTTAACCCCCCAACACCCAACATAAGGATGGGAGAGGCTGGCAACTGTATGTCAAGGTGACTGCCCTGCAGAGTGTGGTTTTAGTGGTACTTTCAAGTTGGCATGTGTCCAGAAAGGGGAGTGAATGGATTTTTTTTTTGACAAATTTCAACCTGATAATTTTATCCAAATTGTCTTTATTTCCTAAACAGTGTAAAAATGAGACATTCCAATACATTTTTGGTTAAAGTTATTGCTATTTGGCACTTTATGCTGATTCTTGATAATGAACATTTATCACTGGATTTGTTTTTTAAGTATTAAAATAAATTGGTATTTTACAGGCAGATGTTGCTGGGTCACATTTTCAATGACTTTGTTAACTTTGCTTTCCTTTGTGATATTACATTGCTATTGTCCAACACAGTTTTCTGGAAACTGAATTAGTTCATAGCCTCATGTTTGAGAAGTACAACTTTTCTTTACTTTACTAAAGACTGTCTAACCCAATGGGATTGTGTGTACCATTTAGTTAACAGTGTAGTCCTAGACATGTGCACTCAAAAGTAAGTCTCACTGGTTTCACTGAGGCTGAGTCATAAGTAAGTGGGTAGAAGATTGCAGCCCAAAATAATAACCCCATACTCGCTTGGAGATTTCAGGCAATGCAAGTGACTGACTTCTGAATAAACAAACTTAAGAATTTTCTGCAAACACATGGTGGGATTAAGATGGAACATTTGGATATTATGGTGAGGTAGTATTTGAACTTTCCTACAGGAAATTGTTGTTGTTGTTGTTCTTAATTTAATTTCTTTACCACCCAACAGCTGAACTGCTCTGGATAATTCACAACAATTTCTCAAAAATACAAAAATGATACAATAAACATACAGATAAAAGTATGATCAAATCACAATACAGAATGGCAATATACCCATTTTTTAAGTTTAAAATGCCAGTATATAAAAGTGTAAAATAATTTAAATACCAAAACAAAAATAGACCCTATTAAAACAGATGACATAACCCAGCAAGTGCCATTAAAAGAGTAGGAATAGAGGGCAGTTTTAACTTGATTCCAAAGGATAACAATGTTAGTGCCAGAAATTGGGGCGGGGGGAATCCTCAATAATCACCAAAATAATCCCACACACATGTTCTACTTAGAGTAGACCACTGAAATGAATGGGATTTGTTTATTGTTTTGATGGGTCTACTCTAAGTAGAACTAAAACTGGATATAACGCAATGTAATTGCCTCTGAATAAGGAGCCACAACCTTGAGTGGAAAGGCAGGGTACATTAAGATTAGAAATTAATACGTTCAGTTCTACCCAAGCATATATTATGATAATGATTAAACCATAATGTGACATTGTGCCGTGTGCACAGTGCTTTACAGATTACAATGACCAGGTCCTTGCTGCAACGGGCTTACAACTTAGTATTTGACATGAGCAAAACAACAGATTAAATGGAGGCAGAGGGAAACAAGGAAGCAATCTTAGTTTCATTTAAGTATGGTTAGATTTGGTTGCAGGCTCAGTTGCAATGCAGAACTCCAGCTGTGGAATTCCAGTTCCCATCCACCCCAGCCAGAATGGTCAGTGATCAGGTTACAGGGTTTGTAGTTGAGCGATATCAGGAAGGCTCCATGGGAATGAGGTGGTTGCTCCCAAGGCCTCATGGAAGATGGGGGGTTTTAGTGGCACGGAGAGGCCATTTGAAGCATGTGGATAGTGCCAGCTCCAGGTTTTTGATGGCCTTTGGGCAGGGCATCCTTGGTGGGTTCCCTCACTCCGTCTTCACCACCAATGTCCCCAGGTGCTCTTGCTCATCATTGCTACCACTTGCTTGCTCAAGAGGGAGAAAACAAGCAGACCCTGCCATCTGCTGCTGCACTTTCTCACCACCGTTGTTGTCTAGGCCAGAAAGTAAGGCAGATGAACAAGCAAGGTGCAGTGAAGGGGAGAAGCAACTTCAAGGGGGCAGAAGTTTTCTGCAAGTCTCTAGTCATGCCTACTCTTGATGCTGGCCCTGAGCATGGGAGAGCAAAAACACGTTTTCTTGTGCTTTGATTACTTGTCAACAGGCACCGCATGTGGACTGGCTCCATTAAAAGGCTTTGTAGCTGAGATGGTGCAAAAGTTGTGTCTGCATTGATGAATCATGTCAGGATTCGTGATACCTGCAAGTCGACATGATGAACCCATGTCCACCAAGTTAATTATGGATCACATCTTATGGTTTCTCTCTGGAATCTGATCATGGACCCACAGCTCTATCCCACATGTAGATAAATCAAAACGCTCAGAGTAAAGTTAATATAAGCCAGACTTCCACAAGCGGGTGCTATTGATACATGCTGTCCAATACTCATCACCCCAGGCAAACATAGCTATGGCACCTGCTGGCTAAGAATGATGGGAATTATAGTCCCACTCATCTGAAGGATAGCAGATCAGGAAAGGCAGATTGTGACCATTGGTAGATTAGGGCCCACTACTGGCATGAGGCTTGATCTAAAGTGAATTACAACAGCTGCCCAACCAGCTGTTGTAGAAGCACATCCTTAAAGTCCTAAGACTTGTGATACAAACTCAGCCCACTGGGGCTCATAACCTGGCCTTCCAGGATTTCCCAGTCAGGCAAACAGCCTTGCCCTGGCTCCTGGCTGCTTTCCCTGCTATTGCCTGTTCCCCATATGCCTCTCCTCCGAAGGCTTAGTTATTAGCATTAATAACTAAGTCATTAGTTAAGCAATAATAAGTAAAGGGGCTGTTCTTTTCAGGCTCTGCCTCTTCTGCCTGACTCGCCACTGGAACGCAGCCTGTGAGAGCCTCTCTGAAACTGAACTTGACCCTCAGGATGAACAGGGTGTGACGCTGCTGTGCTCGAAGGTGGGTCCCAGACTGGAGAGGGCTGGGCCATGCACAGCAATCTCCATGCTTTTGGTCCGAAGCTCCCAGTCACGTGGCAGGAGCTCCGTGAATAAGTCTCTTCCAAGGCATGGGCACCCAACAGTGGGAGTGGGGAGCAAAGGCTTGTGCAACCGAAGCCGTGCACCGTTGGATGGCTTAGGCCCTGTGCCACAGAATGTGGAGGCTGGAGGCCGAAGTGTTATGTCTGATTGTCCTGCTTCTGACTGCGGGTGGCTGGGCGATCGCTCTTTCCTTCTCATCGTTTAATTAAAAAAGGAAGGAAAAAAATCTCTGACCTCAAACAGAGCATTGGGCTTCTTTTTTACCTGATGTCTAGATTTTTATTTTGAACTTTCTTGTGTTTTGATTCCTCCTGCTTGAGCTGGATGGATCAGTCTACCTATCTCAGTTCTGCATGAGTTTTTTCCAAGTTCATCCTGTTCTTCTATTACTTTATATACCTTTTAAAAACATACAAAATGTGCATTTAAATACATTTTAGGGCCAAAATAGACATTTCTTTAAATCTGTGCCTTGTGGTTAGTTTTTTATTTTTAGAGTGAGCACAGGAGGATGCCACACACAGTAAAATAGGATGGCAAATCAAATATATTGCTAGGCACTGAAAAGATCCAGGGTCTGGGTCCATTGGAGGTCACCTGGCAGAAATCTTCCTATGCTAATTTATATCACTCTATATGCAACTGTTGAAATAATTTCTAGGGTTTATTTATAGTTCACAGGAGGAAAAATACAGTGAATTAATTTCTTGTGAAAATTATGTCAAACAAAATAACTTCTTCAATTCATTGGCACCTTGACCTAGATCATCCCAGATCAACGGGGAAAAAATGTCTTCACCTTAATTGCCATGCAGGGGAGATTACTTGGTGGAGGTGAAAAGAGGAGACTCAGTCCCTTTCATGCCTTTTACATGGCAATCAAGTTAAGAAAGACAAAAAATGCACACCTTCCCTTGGATACTCAGGGCTTTGTGGAATGTACTGTAGATCAAAGGCTCTAGGAATTAGTTTTGGGTCTTCACAGGATAAGACCAGTCAACATTCTTGTGGCACACACCTCTTGGTATGATGGGACATCCCCCCCACCCCCCAAGGACACTGTGGTGGGGAAGAGAGGGCTTTCTTTGTACATTGTCCCAGGGAGGAGCAACATGTCTTCACATCCCATTATTCCTGGGCTACCTGTGAATATAAACAGCAGCTGCTGCCAGGATGTTTCGTCACCTGGAGCAGCTTTCAGGCAGTTCTTAGCCCAATTCACTGTTAACATTTTTAAGGATACACCCTGAAACACCCACATTTTGGAGATCTGTGAAATCGAAACAAAAAAATACATTGCAATGCAGTCTGTGTATTATTCCAAGAGTGGAAGTATGGATTGGTCAGTTTGTATCAGAATATAATGACAAGGAATCTCTCATTCTTTTCAGTGAGTTAACTCTACATAGAACAAACATTGGATACTACCCAATGATTCAAACAGTGTGCCTGTGTGTGCATTGCCAAGTCTCTTAAAGCTTCTTTACTTAGGAACACATAAAACGTCACACAAGCCTCTGGAACTTTTTTTTTTTTTTTTTTGTGGGGGGGGTTAGATGTTAAACAAAATAAGTAGTGGTTGGGGACAAGGAGAGAAAAAACTGGGCACATGTGCTAGAACACAAAGGTTTATAGTTGGTTAAGGTCTTAAGACAGAGTGTGGAGGTATTAGGCAGGCTTAATTAGATTAGACTCAATGAGGTGCAAAGCAGCTATCAGGTTGCACTGAGGGATGATGAGACAGGCAAACAAGAAAGTCTGTTCCTACAATTCTCTCTCTCTCTCTCTGTCACACACACACACACACACACACACACACACACACACACAGAGAGAGAGAGAGAGAGAGAGAGAGAGAGAGAGAGAGAGAGAGAGAGAGAGAGAGAATGAATATGAATCTAGGAGTTACTCTTACTTGTTTCCAGAGAGAAGTAAAAGATCTGCAATAATCTTAGCTACAATATATTATTAGCAAATCAAGAGATTCATTTTAGATGGCTTTAGTACCAAGGTAACATGAAGCCCAATTAAAAGTGATAAACCTGAGGCTGTCATACATCAGACACATCATGAGAAGGCAAGACTCACTGGAGAAGACAATTATGTTGAGGAAAGATGAAAGCAGAAACAAAACGGAAGACCAAATATGAGACAGACAGAATCCATAAAGGAAGCCATTGCCTTAAACTCGGAAGAACTGAATGGAGCTGCCACGGTCAGACATTTTGGAGGGATTTCATTCATAAGTCTCATAATAACAACATTAGGTAGCTAGAATAGAACGTATTCAGCCTAGTGACTAGAGGATCCGTACCTTCACCCTTGTCGCCATGTGCACACAAATTAAGCATCCC